CACTTGGGAGGCCCGCCATCAGCATTTTCCAATCTTTTTAGACGCAGTGGAGCATCAAAATGGATTACATGTAAGTCTCTGCGGTTCTATATTCTAATAGTTCATTTATTTGCTAAAAAATATACGAGCAATAGCTTCTCAATATCTACTATGCTGCATAGACATGATTTCAAAAGGTGGGCAGATGTCTCAGCAACGAGGAAGTTAAGGTGGCGATTGGCAAAGAATTACTTGGGCAAATTTGTGTTAGACTCCCTTTGGACTCAGCTGGTGCTGACACATCAGTTCCTCACTTTCAGCAGAAATCCTCTCCAACAAACAGTAACAAAGATAAAGTCTAGTGATTTGAAAATATGATAAATTCTGTTTTAGCTTTGTTACAGTGTGTTATCTTATCCTCATGTGTATATATATATATGTAACTATCGATTGAAAATAAATCATCCGATTCCTTAATATTTCACTTCATTGTCTCTTCTATTTATCTCTTTCATGGTATCAGAGCATCAGTAAAGCACACGCTATTAGATCCTTGACAACATTATCTTTGCAAATATGACCTCCTCTGAGCCTTCCGCTGCTCCCTTTGTTGCTCCTAATATTGGAAATTTGATGACTATTCGTCTCGACGGTGACAATTACCCTCAATGGTATTCTGTAATTGCTCCTATTCTCAAAAGCAATGACTTAATGGGCATCACTGATGGATCTGAAGCTCAGCCCTCTCCCTTTTTTCCTTCTGAATCTGGCCAGACCATTGGCAATCCCAATCCAAACTATGCCACTTGGTATCGCAAGGACCAATTTGTCATCTCCTTCATCAACGCATCTCTGATGCCCAAAGTTTTGTCTCATGTCTGTGGTCTAAAGACTGCCCAGCTAGCATGGACCTCTCTTGCCTCACGTTATGCCTCACAGAGTAGGTCTCGAACGACACTTCTTCAACGACAACTTCGTAGCCTCCAACAGGATAATAAAACTTGTTCTGAATATCTGTCTCAGGCCAAGTGTCTTGTTGATCAGTTAGCTTCTGCTGGTAAACCTTTCGATGATGATGAACTGGTTTACACACTTCTGAGTGGATTGGATGCTCCCTATCTCCCATTTCAGAACTCTATCACTCTAGCCACTAGAGACCGTCCAATGTCTTTTACAGATGTTCAAGCTGAGTTGCTGTCATTTGAGCATCTTCTTCACTCTCATCATAAGACCATCTCTTCTGATTCCGCGTTTGCCTTTGCGGCCCGTCGAAAGCCTCACTATTCTCAGGGTTCTGCTCCTTCAATGAAAGCTTCTTCCAAACTGCTGGCTCCTACATCCGGCTCTAGCATATTACCTGCTCCCACTAATTCAGCTGCTGAACATGTCTCTGCTCGGCCTCCTTGTCAAATATGTGGCAAGACCAGTCACACTGCTCTTGATTGTTTTCATAGATTTGATTTTTCTTATCAAAGGCGTCATCCTCCTCAAACTCTTGCCACGATGGTTGCCCAGGTTAATGCCGCTTTCTTGGCTAAGGTGAATGGTTCTTCAGCAAGCAACACCTGGTTTGCTGATAGTGGTGCAAATCAGCACATCACTAGCAATCTTGAGAATCTCTCTCTCCAGCAACCCTACAATGGTAGTGATAATATTGCCGTTGGCAATGGCACTGGCTTGGAAATTTCCAACACTAGTTCTCTCCTTTTTCATACCCCTTCTTCTCCTTTACTAATGTGTCCTGTTTTTCACTGTCCACAAGCCTCAGCAAATCTTTTGTCCATTAATAAATTTTGTCGTGACAATAATTGTTTATTTATATTAACGGGAACTTCTTATTCTGTTCATGATGTGCAGACGGGCAGGATGTTACTCAACGGTGCGAGTGAAGGTGGTTTGTACCCAATCCATTTGAAGTAGTCGTCTCGTCAAACACTACCTCCTTTCGCTGCTTTTCTTGGTGTTTCAACCTCTGCTCACGTCTGGCATTCCCGTCTTGGTCACCCATCATCATCAGTTGTTTCGCGTGTTCTCAAAGATTACTCTTTACCTGTTCATGGTTCTATAAATAAATTGGGTGTTTGTCATCCTTGTCAACTTGGCAAGAGTAAACAACAACCTTTCACCAATTCGAGTCGTGTTTCTTCCCACCCCTTAGAACTAATTCATACCGATGTTTGCTCTTGTTCTACCACTTCAGTTAGTGGTTATCACTACTATGTTATTTTTGTGGATGATTATTCAAGATTTACTTGGCTTTATCCTTTGCACTCCAAAGAAAATGTTTATTCTTGTTTCATTCGATTTAAATTGCTTGTAGAAAATCAATTTTCCCACAAAATAAAACAATTACAATCTGACAATGGTGGAGAATATGTTTCTACCCAATTTAAGAAATGTTTATCTGATCATGGAATTCTTCATCGTTTAAGTTGTCCATACACAGCTCAACAAAATGGCCTCGCCGAACGTAAACACCGACATATTATGGAAACTGGTCTTACCTTATTAGCTCAATCTAAACTCCCAATGACCTTTTGGGTTGATGCTTTCCTTACTGCCATTTATCTAATTAATCGATTACCAACTCCGGTGTTAGATAACTCCACCCCTTTTTTTAAACTTTTTGCGACTCATCCAGATTACTCTTTCCTTCGCACTTTTGGTTGTGCTTGTTATCCCCTTTTACGGCCATATACTTCCAATAAAATGCAATTTCGAAGTAAACAATGTATTTTTCTTGGTTATGCCTCCTCACACCGTGGTTATCGATGTTTTGATCCTTCCACTGGAAAAGTTTTTATCAATAGGAATGTTGTGTTTGATGAGACACTTTTTCCATCTGGTTCTGGTGCAACTCCTTCGGTCGTTGGGAATACACCTGTTGCTCAACCATCTAGCACAACAGTAACACCTCAAAGCTTTGGTCCCCATCACATGTCAGGTAATACTCATCCTTCAAATTTTTCTTCTCTTATATTACCACTTTCTTTGCCCACAGACGTGACCACCTCACTTATTACACCAAATTCCAATGCTACTACTTCAAACCTCCCGGTCCCTACTTCTCCTATGTCTCTAGACCATTCTTCTACTGATCCAAGTCCTTCTTCCACTGCGTCTCCTTCACTAGAACCCGAACCCTTACGACCTCCTCCTTCCCGCATGGTCACAAGATCTCAAACTGGCTCTCTTAAACCTAAACTTTATCCTGACTACCAGGCTCATTATGTCACCAAATATCCACTCGTTGCTCTTCACACCAACTCTTTACCCACCGAGCCTACTTGCTATTCCAAGGCTGTGTTATCACCAGATTGGAGGAAAGCTATGGGAGAGGAGTTTGATGCTTTGGTTGCAAATGGTACATGGTCTCTTTGCCCTAGACCTCCTCATCACTCAGTTGTTCGTAATAAATGGGTCTATCGCTTGAAGCAAAAGCCCGATGGTTCTATTGATCGCTTTAAGGCCCGACTTGTGGCCAAAGGTTTCGATCAACGGTTGGGAATTGATTTTACAGAAACTTTTAGTCCTGTTATTAAGCAATCTACTATTCGTATACTACTTTGTTTGGCAGTTCATTTTAAATGGCAGGTTCAACAACTTGATGTTTCGAATGCGTTTCTCAATGGCTTTCTTGACGAGGAAGTCTACATGGAGCAACCACAGGGTTTCATTGACCCTCAATTCCCTGATTTCGTACGTCGATTACATAAGGCTTTATATGGTCTCAAACAAGCCCCTCGGGCTTGGTTTACTCGTCTACGAGACTCACTGTTGGAGCTTGGTTTTCTCTGTTCCTCTGTTGATACATCTTTATTTATGCTTCATCAAGGCTCTACCCATATTTATATTCTTGTATATGTGGATGATATCCTTATTACTGGTTCAGACTCAACTGTTATTGCTTCTACTATCATTCAATTACAGCAAGAGTTTAAACTTAAGGATCTTGGTTCTCTGAATTTTTTTCTGGGTATTCAAGCTTATCGTGATGATGATGGTATCCATCTTAGGCAGTCCAAATATGTTGCTGATTTGCTTACTCGAACTCATCTCTCTAAAGTCAAGCCTGTGGCTACTTCTTGTATTATGGGACCTAAACTCTCTCATCACAACGGTGATCTCCTTCATGATGATGATGCTACTGAATATCGCCAGTTAGTTGGCGCCTTGCAGTACTGCACTTTGACACGTCCAGACATCTCATATTCTGTTAATCAGCTTTGCCAGCATATGCACTCTCCTTCTACAACTCATTGGACTGCTGCTAAGCGTGTCTTACGCTATTTAAAGGGTTCCATTGATCATGGTCTTTGGCTCTCTGATGGTCCTTTGACCTTACAAGCATTTTGTGACTCTGATTGGGCTGGAGATCCAGATGACCGACGATCTACTTCTGGTTATGGTGTGTTTCTTGGTTCATGTCTGATTTCGTGGTCGGCCAAGAAGCAAAATGTTGTTTCTCGTTCTAGCACTGAAGCTGAGTATCGCTCTCTTGCCTTCACAACTGCAGAATTATCTTGGGTATGCATGCTCCTACGTGAACTTCGGATTACTCTTGCAACTCCCCCCATCCTTTGGTGCGATAATGTTAGTGCAATCTCCCTTTCTGCCAATCCTGTGTTCCATGCTCGGACCAAACATGTTGAAGTTGATTTCCATTTTATCCGGGAAAAAGTCGCTAATGGTGAAATTTGTGTCAAGTATATTAATACTCGTGATCAAATTGCTGACATTTTCACCAAAGGTCTTTCATCCAATCGATTCTCTACACTACGTACCAAGCTGCTGGTGCTTCCTCCACCCATCAGCTTGCGGGGGACTGTTAGACTCCCTTTGGACTCAGCTAGTGCTGACACATCAGTTCCTCACTTTCAGCAGAAATCCTCTCCAACAAACAGTAACAAAGATAAAGTCTAGTGATTTGAAAATTTAATAAATTCTGTTTTAGCTTTGTTACAGTGTGTTATCTTATCCTCATGTGTATATATATATATATATATATATGTAACTATCAATTGAAAATAAATCATCCGATTCATTAATATTTCACTTCATTGTCTCTTCTATTTATCTCTTTCAATTTGCACCAACAGACTGTGATAAACGATTATCTGTAAACTGTATCCTTGTATGCATCTCTAGATTTATATTCGTATTCGACAGGCTGCAAATTCTTCAATAGCCATGGATCTTTGAGAGGATCATGGTCAAGAACACAATGAGGCCTAGCTTGACGAAGGACAAACCAAAGAACCAGGTACATGAAAACCACGACAGGGCGCTGAGTGCCCCTATTAGTATTCTCCGCCTGGATGAGTATGTGGGTTGATTATTGTGTGCTTCAGCAAGTTCCACCGTATAAGTCATCTTTGAATTGCCTTTACCATCAATAGACAATTCTGAAAGTGATTCTTCTGCGCACTCAGTATTGGATTCCGGGGGGGAATTCCCTGTTCCTACCGAACTCTCTTCTATTGTATTGGTAAGATCATCTTCATCCGATTCATCCCTGTCATTGTCATTGTCATTGTCATTGTTTTCACCCTTCTCTTCATTTTTACTCATTTGCATAATTGGATCATATTCTAATGTGTCGATTCCTGCACAAATTGTTTCTGGTGCTTCCTCAATTTCCTCTTCAGCATTTTTAAATTCTTTCTGTTGACAGACAACTAATTCCAGGGTGCTGTTTTCTTTCATCTCCTGATTTGCAGAAGTTCCCACATTTGTTACAACAACTCCAATAGCTTCAGTTGAAAGCTGCTCGTTCATAGAGTCTTTCTCAATAGCAATTTCTGCCATAATGTTGGACGGATAGCTGAGAATTGGAAAGGAGAAGGTTTGCACATCCTTCGCATAATCTCCACAGTGACCATTTTCAGTATTTTGTTCATCATCATTATGAGATATTTTTTGTTCACAAACTTGGATTTCCGCATCAGGATAATCACATTCTTCTTGTTCCACCAATTGCACTTCTGCATTATGAATGCCATCATCTATTTGTGAAATCTCAATAGCTTCATTTCTTTCACTTTTTTGAACAGTTTCAATGGGCAGTGAACCTTCTTTGTCGTCGCTGTTTACATTTTCATGTTCAATAATAGGTCGACTGTCAAAAACTGACAGTAATTCTTTCCCACCTTCACCGTAATTCTCCAAAACTGTAGTTCCTGGCATGGAACTAACTGTGCTGACAATTTCTTGATCATGACGATTTTTAGTTTTCTCTTCACTAAATTGCATCTCTACAGCATTCAGTTTTCCGTCAATATTCTCTTGCATATTTTTGTCATCTTCTGCCATTATTTTATCAATACGAGAACCATCTTCTTTGGCCAACTCTATTTCTACTTCATGTTTGTCCATTTTGTTCTTCGACTCAGGTTCAAGAAGCAATTTATCATCAAATGTTGGCAGTTGGAACTCTTCCTTAATAACAGTCACATCGCCATCAGCAATAGGCTTCTCATTCTGAAATAGGAAATAAAGGTATGAGAATTCTGATAATATATAAGTGTTTAGCTCATTAGAAATGTTCCATAATTTTACTCTTCTCTTGCAACTAACTTGATCGATTCTGTTAAAATTGGAACGACACCCAGAAGATTGCAAAGGATATGCAGAAATCGAGAACGGCTCCATGTTTATTTTTATTTCTTAAAAGAAAACTTTGTTAAGGTACATCCCGGAAAGATTAACAATCAGCATATGTTTTGTTCACGGGGTGATGTGGAAGAACACATTAACATAGAGAAGGCATGAATTAAAATAGAATTACCAATATCAAGTACTCAGTAAAGGAAAATGAAGCAGAAACGGTCTTGATCTTGTCCACATCTGCTGCTCCTGTGCTGAAAATTTAACTCAATTTGATAAACAAATTGGCAGTGATAATTATTCATGAAAAAAATCCATTAAATAGAAAAAATTTCATATACCATGGACTTTTCTTTTCCAACGGATGTGTACGAGGAAGAATAAACTGTATTTCTTTGCTTGCATTATCTTGACCATTATCATTCGCAGGGAGTTCTTTTGGCAAGGAAAAGGTTAGCACGTCCTTGACATGATCTTCATATTGACTGTTTTCAGCATTTTGTTCGTCATCATGACAAGAGATTTGTTCATAATCTCGAACAATTTCTGCATCAGGACGATCACATCCTTGTTTAACCAATTGCATGCTTGCTTTGTGAATGCTGTCATCTACTTGAGCTGTCTCAATAGTTCCATTTCCTTCAATTTTTTCAACAGTTTCGGTTGGCAAAGAGGTTTTTTTATAGACGTTTGTGTTTTCATGGTCGATAATAGGCTGACTGTCAAAAAGTGGCAGTAATAATTCTCGCCCACCTTCACCAGAATTCTCTGTAGCAGTATTTCCTGGCATAGAACTACACTTGGCGATTATTTTATCTTGATCGCGAAAATTCTTTGTCTTGTATTCTTCTTCGCTAAATTGCATCTCTACAGCATTCTTTTTTGCTTCAATATTCTCTTGCATTTCTTGGTTATTTTCTGCCATGATTTTATCTATAGGAACGCCCTCAATGGTGTCATCATCCTTGGTTAACTCGATTTCTTCTTCACGATTCTGCATTTCATCCTTCAGCTCAGGTTCGAGAGGCAATTTATCATCAAATGTTGGCAGATGGAACTCTTCCTTAATAACAGTCACAGAGCCATCAACAATAGGATTCTCATTCTGAATCAGGAAATTAAAGGTATGAGGATTCTGACTTTGTGTTTAGCTCAGTGGAAAAGTTCCATAGATGTATCTTATCTCTTGCAACTATCTTGATCGACTCCAAAAAAATTGAAACGGTAGAGAGAAGATTGCACAAGATATGCAGAAAAACGAGAACAGGTTCTTTGTTTATTTAAAAATAAAAATAAATGATCAATTACATCCGGGAAATATTAAAAATCAGTTTCTATTTTCTTCATCGGGTCACGTGGAAGAACATACTAACATAAAGAAAATAAGTATTAAAATAGAATTACCAATTTCAAGTTATTGGCGAAGACGCATGAAGCAGAATCAGCCCCAACATCCATATCAGCTGTTCCTGTGCTGAAAATTCAATGTACTTTGATAAACAAAAGACTGTGATAATAATTTATGGAAAAAAAATCATTTAAATAGAAATGATGTCATCTACCATGGATGAGGAAGAATAAACTGTATCACTTTGCCTGCATTATCTTGATCATTCTCCTCCTTTAATGTCTCAGGAAGTTCTGTTGGAATGGATAAGGTCTGCACGTCCTTGACATATTCTTCAAATTGGTTGTTTTCAACATTCTGTTCGTTATCATTACAAGAGATCTCTTGTTCATAATCTTGAACAATTACTGCATCGGAATAATCACTTTCTCGTTTAACCGAATGCATTTTTGATTTGTGAATGCTGTCATCTACTTGAGCTGTCTCAATAGCTCCATTTACTTCAATTTTTTGAACAGTTGCAATCAGCAGAGAGCTTTCTTTCTTGTTACTACTTGTATTTTCATGATCATTAATAAGTCGACTGTTGAAAACTGGCATGACTAAATCTTGCCCACCTTCACCATAATTCTCCGTAACAATATTTCCGGGCATGAAACCACATGTGCTGATAATAATTTCTTGATCAAGACAATTCTTAGTCTCGTCCTCTTCACTAAATTGCATCTCTACAGCATTCTTTTCCCATTCAATATTCTCTTGCACCTCTTGGTTACTTTCTGCTATGATTTTATTACAAAGAACACCCCCAATAGCATCATCGTCCATGGTTAACTCAATTTCTACTTCAGGATCTTGCTTTTGGTCCTTCGATTCGGGTTCAAGAAGCAATTTATCATCAAATGTTGGCAAATGGAATTCTTTCTTAGTGCCCTCGGTATTGACAGCGCTTTCCAGTTTTTTAGTATTATCAGAGCAGCAAGCCTCTTTTTTCTTATACGCAGGACCTCCCGTTCCACCATTAATTTCAAGCGTGGGCTTTTCATCCTGAATCAGCGAATCAAAGGTATGAGGATTCTGATACATGAAGAGCTATTAGCTCAATTAAAATGTTGCATAAATTTTACTTTTATAGTAATATGTTTTTGGTTATTAGCGAAATTTCAAGTTGATCGCTAAACTCATTTTCTTTCAAAATGGTTATTTAACTTCAATTTTGATGCAATCTGATGTGGCAGTCGAGCTATTGCGATAAGCTGAAACTCAACTTTTCTGTCATTTAAAGTAATAGACGTGGCCAGCATGATCAAATTGTAACAAACTTTCAAGTTACCAACTAGAAATTGAGTGTCAGCATGTGATTTTAGCCCCTTACTTTTCTCTTGCAAATTAACCTGATCAAGTTCATGCCTCTCTTTCGGGACATCCCCTAAAACTGGAACGATACAGAAGCATGAACGAATCGAGAAATGACCAATTCTTCTAGAAGAAGGGGAAGGAAGAAAACTTGATCAAGTTTTTCCAAGAAATATTGATTATCAACATATATTTCGTTTCCACAGTGTGATATGTAACATCATGAACATAAAGAAGACGAGTTAGAAATAAGATTACCAATTTCAAGTTCTCAGTAAAGAGAAATGAAGCAGAATCATCCTTTACCACATCCATATCTGCTGTATCATTGCTGAAAATTCAATTCAATCAAATCCATCAATATGAAATTTTAGTAGAGTTACAGACTTCATTTATCAAATTGATGATTATTACAATTCATGGAAAAAGTAGAAATAATTTCACATACCATTGATGGTTCTTTACAGACAAAGATGTATTAGGAAGGATAAATTCTCTCTCTGCGCTTGCATTATCTTGATCATTCTCTTTGTTTGATGTCTCAGGGAATTCAGTTTGTAGACTCTGCTCCACCTCCTGGTGGCTGTGGTGGTTCTTGCCAGATTTCCGTCCCTTTCTCCTGACTACGAGGGCCGACACTATAGCAGCAGCAGCCGCCAAGGTGGCTACACCCAACAAAACCACCGCTCCAGTGGCGCCTCCTGCTTTGCCTATTTTCATTGTCATCTTCTTCTTTTCTTGCTCATGGTATGTCTTTTTGGACTCCTCCATACCATATTCCTGCACTTCTTTCACTTAATATATTATCTCCCAGTTTCTGGGATGTCAATCTTTGGTGTGTTTCCCTATGCATTCTTTCATCTTTTCGGGATTTTCAATGTTGTGTTAGAGATAAGATGAAGAGCAGGGATTGCTTTTGGGAATTGATTTTTTGATCATTAGGAGAAAAGTGAGATTCACCCGTGAAAAAAGAAGTCAAATATGATGGCTGAAATAGTGAAATAACGATCAAAAAAATCAATTTTTTGGGTAAAAATTTGCTCCCAAATAGGCCCGTAGTGAAAGAAGATGGGTAGGCGAGGTTGAAGCCACATTTCATTAGACAAACAATTTATCATTATTATTATTTTAATTTTCTGTGTCTTCTACAAAAATATTTACTACACTTCAGGGAAACTGAAATTTGTCATCAGGCATCAGCTGATGACTCGCGTGGCTCGCGAGGAGCAAATAATTATAAAACTAAAACGAACAGTTCTAAAGAATAAGTTAACATGCTCATGCAAGGCATGAGGTGGGTTAACAAACCCCACAATAATTGGCAAATTCATTGCTAACGCGTTTAATATGTTGACTTGTATCGGTCATTGTAGAAAGATAAGTGTTGTGGGGATAAATCTAGAAGGGGCTTTTGATAATCTTTTATCAAATTTAATATCAAATTCTACATTTTATCCTTAATAAAAGAATAAATAATTTTATATTGTACATGTCAAATCACAGTTAATGTTAGACACAAAAATATCGAAAATAACATTTAAAGTGTAGAAAAATATTATGCTCGGAATGAAATATCATTCTAGACATTTTATATGTCTAGAAT